TTTCTTTCTTACCTTTCTGGATAGAGTGGGAAAAGCTTAGAACAGGGAAGCTCAACCTTTTGAAGAGCGTGGACCACTTTGGTATGCAATCGCAGGCCACTGTGAAATGGTTCAGAATTTCAAATGGTTTGTTTTGAATAACATAAAGAAGACTTTAAACAATTAGGATCATCGTTTTTCCATTGGGACCAATCCTCGTTGGGTGTTGACCCACTGTTTAACCTCCTTGGCGGTATAATTCTTTCTGATTTTTGGGTGCTGAAAGTGGTACCATTATTTTGCATGGAAATATGTAGTTTTTTATTGTAGGCCTGTAATTTTTAGGAATAACTCACTGAAATCTGTCCGAACAAGAGTCTAGTAAACATCCCGGGTATGGTAAAACTTGAAACACGAAATCATAAATTATAATTTAATAAATAATCATAAAAAATAATAATATAATAATAAATTTAATTCAATAATATAATCAAACCAAAAACACTGAAATGTGAAATACAGAGGCAAATTCGCACATCGCTGAGCAAAGTCGCAAAATCGTTTTCAGTGTCTGATGACGAATTTCCCCCACGAATCATCACTCAATTCTGCAAGTGGTTCTGATTTACTATCGCTGTTCTAAAACCGCTTTTGATGTAAAGGGACGCTTTTTTGGACGCCATGGACTTTTCTAAGTTTCCAGGCAGAAAGAACAGTCAAAATGCAGGCAGGGCACAGGACAAAGCAGTCGGGACAAAATATATGTGAAATGCATTGAAACAGCAATGACAGCAAAAATGACATTTTTTAAAAAATTCAATTTTCCCACTGGTTCCGGCGCCCGTACGTCCCGACGTCACAGGGACCAGAACACAGAAGCCGGATGCCGGCATCGGCCGGAGGAGATGGCCGGGGATGCTGGAGGGGACACATCGTGGGAGCGAAGGACAAGGTAAGTGCTGCAGGGACCCCCAGAGCAAAGGCGCATGGTAAGCCCAAGTGTAGCTCGGGGTTACCGCTTTTGGGATAGAAATTTTACCCCGAGCTACACTCGGGATTACCGCTAAGGAGGTTAATTATTTTTATTGACCAGAAGACCATTAATCCCATTCTCACTCAGATGTGACCATCCAAAAAAGCTCTGGACCAGTGTTGCAGCCTTCACTATATCAGGGTCTTTGCAGCCATCTCTTGAATTGCCAAAACAAGGACTGTGGACAATCTAAACGTGAACAACAGACCAGGGAAGCACATGCCCCATTAGCATAATAAACTTCTTTATTAAGTAATGATTAAATGACACATAATCAGGGCTGTCTTAATGCATGGACACCCCTGGGCACTGTCCAGGGGCCCCTGGGGCATGGGAGCCCCATGATAATCTTACATTACATCATACTTGCCAACTGTCCTGGATTTGCAGGGACAATCACACTTTTTACTAAGCAGTCCCGGGATTGCCTGGGCAGCATCCCAGATCGTTTACTGTGCCCCCCTGTACTGTGTCCTTCTGCCTCCCCCCGTACTGTGACCTTTGTGTTGATTAGGCTTTGATTTATGGTATGCTTTTTTTTTATCAATATGGTTGAAAGTACTAATAAATACACTATATTGCCAAAAGTATTGGGACACCCCTCCAAATCATGTGATTCAGGTGTTCCAATCCCCTCCATGGCCACAGCTGTATAAAATGAAGCCCCTAGGCATGCAGACTGCTTCTACAAACATTTGTGAAAGAATGGGTCACTCTCAGGAGCTCAGTGAATTCAAATGTGGTCCCGTGATAGGTTGTCACCTGTGCAATAAGTCCATCCGTGACATTTCCTGGCTACTAAATATTCCACGCTCAACTGTTAGTGGTATTTACAACAACATGGAAGCAACTGGAAACAACCGCAAAGTAAAATGACAGAGCGGGGTCAGCGCATGCTGAAGTGCGCAGAAGCTGCCAACTGTCTGCAGAGTCGATAGCTAAAGACCTCCAAACTTCATGTGGCCTTCAGATCAGCACAACAACAGTGCGTAGAGAGCTTCATGGAATGGGTTTCCATGGCCGAGCAGCTGCATCCAAACCTTACATCACCAAGTGCAATGCAAAGCGTCGGATGCATTGGTGTAAAGCACACCGCCACTGGACTCTAGAGCAGTGGATACGTGTTCTCTGGAGTGACCAATCACGCTTCTCTGTCTGGCAAGGCAATAAACGTGTCTGGGTTTGGCAGTTGCCAGGTGAACTGTACTTGCCTAACTGCATTGTGACACAATTCACTGACATGCTCCCCAAATGACATCAAGCTCATCACACAACTGTGACAGCCCACCTTTCGAACCCCTGTATGGATGCCACTAGATGTAATCCACATGGCTAAAGGCTTCTCTCCCAATGTCTGTGTGTTAGGAAGGAAAGAGAAGAGCGGAGCTTGTGTATGCCAGCCACAGGGATTATGGAGGACTGGCAATCTGTCAGTACAGCGATGTGTGGGTTGCCCTAGGTTTGAGGTCACAGGTCACATTTGACCTGCAGGCCATGGGTTTAGCATGTCTGCCTTAGAACTTCTGTGTTGGTTTTTTTTTTTCTTCTCAAAGTTTTATTTGGTATTTGAAGTACAATACAAAATGGAAAGAATGACAAAATACCATAATGACATTATAGTAGTGCCATACAGATGCAAACAATTGTTCATAACTACAGTACAATCCAATAAACAATTGAGATGACACAGAAGAGTAACAAACCAACAGAACACAACAAAGAAAAAAGTATATGGTATCATGACCTGGTGACCTGGTGTTATATATCATCCAATCTTCAAGTAAACAATATTGCAGTGGAACAATTATAAGTTGTGTTCAGACGTGTTCAATTCATATTTGCTATTGCAGGATTTCCAAAGCACGTGGCTCTTATTATGAATTCCAGTATTCACCAAGTGAGTCCCCAATGGAGGCTAGGCTAACGTGGTCATCAAGTGCCTAATCTAATTGATCTCCCTCAAAAGGGTAGTCAAGATTGTATGGAACAACTCAACCTAAGCAATCCTCTGGGGACCAGGAGGATTTGATCCCGTGATTACCCAAAGGGCCCATTCACAATGGTGCATTTTTGCAAAGTGGTAAAACTCGTGTTAATGCAGGTTACCACATTACATGGCAACGTGCATTATGGTATCATTCATTGTGAATGGCATCCAACACATGGTCCAATATAACCCAACTCAATGTACAGTTGTGTTCAAAATAATAGCAATGTGTTGAAAAAAGTGAATAAAGCTCAAAATCCTTCTAATAACTTTTATTTCCATCCACACAAATGCATTGGGAACACGACACATTCTATTCCAAATCAAAACATGAAGAAAAATACATCAAATTTGTGTTCCTCTGAAAAAACTGAAGAAAAGTGAATATTAGACTGTTCAAACAAATCGCAGTGTTTGTATTCTTCTTTACAAACTCAAACATTCACTATATAAACTGAAAAATGTTTGAAGATTTTGCTTTCCTTTGAATGACTTAATGAATATTTGGTTGTAGTCGCACTGTTTCTGAGAACTGCTGTACATCTGTGTTGTATGGAGTCACCCAACTTCTGGCACCTGTGATCAGGTATTCCAGCCCAGGATGATTGGACTACATTCCACAGTTCTTCTCTATTTCTTGGTTTTGCCTCAGAAACTGCATTTTTGATGTCACCCCACAAGTTTTCTATTGGATTAAGATCCGGGGATTGGGCTGGCCACTCCATAACGTCAATCTTGTTGGTCTGGAACCAAGATGTTGCACTTTTACTGGTGTGTTTGCGGTCGTTGATGTCTTGTTTGAACACCCATTTCAAGGGCATTTCCTCTTCAGCATAAGGCAGCATGACCTCTTCAAGTATTCTGATGTATTCAAACTGATCCATGATCCCTGGTATGCGATATAAATAGGCCCAACACCGTAGTATGAGAAACATCCCCATATCATGATGCTTGCACCACCATGCTTCACTGTCTTCACAGTGTACTGTGGCTTGAATTCAGTGTTTGGGGGTCGTCTGACAAACTGTCTCCGGCCACTAGACCCAAAAAGAACAATCTTACTTTCATCAGTCCACAAAATGTTGCGCCATTTCTCTTTAGACCAGTCAATGTGCTCTTTGGCAAATTGTAACCTCTTCAGCACATGTCTTTTTCCAACAGTGGGACTTTGCGGGGACTTCTTGCAGATAGCTTGGCTTCACATAGGCGTCTTCTAATTGTAACAGTACTCACAGGTAACTTTACACCTTCTTTCATCTTCCTTGAGCCGATTGTTGGCTGAGTCCGTGCCATTTTGGCTATTCTTCTATCCATTCGAATGGTAGTTTTTTGCTTTCTTCCACGTCTTTCAGGTTTTGGTTGCCATTTTAAAGCATTTGCGATCATTTTAGCTGAGCAGTCTATCATTTTCTGCGCTTCTTTATATGTTTTCCCCTCTCCAATCAACCTTTTAATCAAGGTACGCTGTTCTTCTGAACAATGTCTGGAATGACCCATTTTCCTCAGAATTTCAGAGAGAAATGCACTGTAACCAGCATGTACAACATTTACTGCCTTCCTTCCTTAAATAAGGGCAATAATTGCCACCTGCTTTTCAAAGAATGAATGACCTCACTAATAGAACTCCACACTGCTATTATTTTGAACATGCCCCTTTCAATGAGTGATTCAATGACACAGAATCAGCAGCATGCATGTCATGACTGTTGGGTCTGTTGGATTTCTATTACTCTACTACACCTGCTAGTAAATTATTTGCCATGTAGAAATATCATTTCTACCAAAAACAGAGATTGATCCGGTTAGTGATGTCTGACTGCTATTATTTTGAACACAACTGTATATACCGTGCACTGTGGTGTGCTGCATTGCTAAAAAAAGGGTTGTGGTATTTTTTTCATCAATTGTGGTGTGTTGGTAGCCTATTTATAGTAAGTGGGCTGCCTTAACAAAAAATACACTAATGCGGGCTATAACGCCTCCATGAATGAGGGGGTCCAACCAGGGGCGGACTGACCATTTGGAAACTCGGGCACTGCCCGAGGGCCCGGGGTCAGTAGTGGGCCCCATGAGATGCCCCTGGTACCTTTTTCATAGGCTTTTTTTGAGTTTGGGCAGGGACACAGGGGCTCCATGATCCCCTATTGCCCGGGGGCCCCATGAGTTGTCAGTCCACCCCTGGGTCCAACATATAACATTTATCATCACTGGAACAGAAGCAGAGGGGATATTTTCCGGTGAGGGCACTAGTTCCGGAGACAACCATTATAGGTGGGATTTCCCACCTATGACAATTGCCTCCAGAATTGAAGCTTGGCAGCAGTTCTAAACCTCCCCAACTTTGCCTAAAACTAGAAGAATATGGTTTTGGCTGAAGTTATTCTTTAACCACTAGATCCAGAGCAAGGAAAGCCCTTTATAAAGCAGGATCTGTTCCAATAAGGTTTAAAATTACAACATACTACTTGAAGCCTAAAGGCAAACAATTTCTTGCATCTATCCATTTATGTTACGACCAGAGATGGACAAGGAGCTTTGGCAGTGCTGCTTATAGCCGTTCTGACAGACCCTCTTTTAAAGCACTAACTTACTTAAACCTAATTGCTGTGTAATGGATTAAACAGCCGTGTACAAATTATTTCCAAACAATATCACACACGGTTTACTGATTGCCTTGAGTCATATTTCCTGTTTTTTTTTTTGCAGAAAGATGCCATTAAAGCTTTTAAGATGAGCCTTTTTTCATTTTCTTCATGTTCTGCTAGAAGGAAAGTCTTCCCATGGCTGCCTGGATCCTGGATGTTGGATGAGCCTATTGTGTCCATCATGAGATTCTTCCCCCATACAGTATTCCATTGTATGGGAGACAAAGGAATATCAGCTGGCCTTAAATTCCAAGCTCTCCCAATAACAATGGCTACTCGCAGCCTGCGGCCATACAGAGCATTAGTAGGAATTCTTCTTTGGGGTGGGAAGCCACCTGCTGCTGGAGATCACTCGCTGCAAGACCAAGCATTGTGCCCGCCTTCATTAAAAGGATGTTTTGCTCTTTTTCAGTCTCATTGGAGGTTTTCTATTTGTATTAATGGGATTAAAAAAATATGCTAAATCTAACACGCAGATCCAGATTAATGCAATAAAAGATTGCAAAAGTGTTCTTGTGGTTTTAGCAGACACTTTGGAGGTGGGCTCCCTTGCTTGTTGACACCTTTTCAGGGGCGGACTGACAACTCATGGGGCCCCTGGGCAATAGGGGATCATGGGGCCCCTGTGTCCTTGCCCAAACTCAAAAAAGCCTATGAAAAAGGTACCAGGGGCATCTCATGGGGCCCCCTACTGACCCCGGGCCCTCGGGCAGTGCCCGAGTTTCCAAATAGTCAGTCCGCCCCTGCACCTTTTATACAGTGCATGTCTGGGAAAAGTACAAAAAAAAATATTCAGTTAAGCCTCACAGTTATCTTGGCATTTCTCCCTGTTTATAGGAGAATTGCTCAACCTTTTTTTTCGGTCATAGTGCCCTTAAAATGTATGCAAAATCTTACGTTACCCCAGTCTAAAATCTAAAACACTTAAATGTTACTTATCAATGGGAAACCTGAGCCTGGGACAATGTACACAACTGTCTTGATGAAATTAACTTCAGAAGCCCCCCTTCACATTAAAGGTTCCCAAATGATAGGTTTCTTCCTTCAAGTCAGGAGCCACCCATCACAGATTCCCACCTATGTATGATTCCCCATCAGATCCGAGTCACCCCAATACATGAGTCTCCCCATCACAAAGTTCCCTCTACTCATTATAAACCTATCTTTTGGCTGAAGCAAAGTAGGAGGTAGAGGAGGAGGAGGACTTCTGACTCTTCCTGAATGCTGGGGAGCCCCTGCGCGTCTCCTGCCCTGGATCAGAGTCATGCTTTGCCATGGAGTGGGTGCGTCGGCTGCCATCACTATAATCGTGAATGACGCCATGCGTTCCGGCCTTGGAGCTTCATTGGCTGTTGATGCTGGTGGCGGGCCTGTCCAACTCATGACACTGATCCAGAGCCAACTGGGTCCTGTGCTCATTGCACCCTTGGGAAACCCAGAGAGCACCCTGATTGAGAACCACTGATCTATTGAACTTCCAGAAATCCTAATTTGCTGTTTAGACTGAAAAAGATTCCTCTCCTGCACTGAAACCGCAAGACATGTTGGCAACCCTGCCGGAATTCTCCCCTGCTAGACTACAGATCTTTGCCAAATTCTCACTCTTCTCTTCCTCTCTAAGTGAATATATTGATTTTTCTGAGAAAACAATGCTGCTGCCCATGACTCCCAAGAAATTGTCCACACACTGTATGCAGAGCAGGGGCTATTGGGAGATGTCATTCTGGGGGGTCACTGTGCCAACATCAATAGGAACTGACTTCCAACTAGCTGCCCTGCAAGAATTTTGCAATTCAGGTGATAATGTCACAGTGTATATATAATAAAACCAGGAACAAGGATAAAAAATAACAATGGGAAACGATCTATTGGGGAGAGGGAGGGTTTTTCTGGGTGTATTTTGGCAACACTTGGACATAAAGTGATGTAAAAAGTCTTACACACCCAGGGGCGGACTGACCATTTGGAAACTTGGGCACTGCCCAAGGGCCCGGGGTCAGTAGGGGGGCCCCATGAGATGCCCCTGGTACTATTTTAATAGGCTTTTTTGAGTTTGGGCAAGGACACAGGGGCCCCATGATCCCATATTGCCCGGGGGCCCCATGAGTTGTCAGTCCGCCCCTGCACACCCCTGTTAAAATGTCAGGTTTCTGTGATGTAAAAAAATGAGACACAGATAAATCATTTCAGAACGTTTTCCACCTTTAATTGTCACCTAAAAACTGTACAACTCAGTTGAACAACAAACTGAAATCTTTTAGGTGGAGGGAAGTAAGAATAAAAAAACAAAAACAATATGGTTGCATAAGTGTGCACACCCTTAAACTAATCCTTTGTTGAAGCACCTTTTGATGTGATTCCAGCACTCAGTCTTTTTGGGTATGAGTCTATCAGCATGGCACATCCTGACTTGGCAATATTTGCCCACTCTTCCTTGCAAAACACTCCAAATCTATCAGATTGCGAGGGCATCTCCTGTGCACAGCCCTCTTCAAATCACATCAATTTTGGAGGGACGTCCAGTTCTTGGTAATGTCACTGTTGCGCCATATTTTCTCCACTTGATGATGACTTTCTTCACTGTGTTCCATGGTATATCTAATGCCTTGGAAATTCTTTTGTACCCTTCTCCTGACTGATACCTTCTAACCTTCTCCTGACTGATACCTTCTAACCTTCTCCTGATCTCATACCTTACCTTTTAACAATAAGATCCCTCTGATGCTTTGGAAGCGCTCTGCGGACCATGGCTTTTACTGTAGAATGCAACCAAGAAAATGTCAGGAAGGTCCTACTAGAACAGCTGAACTTTATTTGGGGTTAATTAGAGGCACTTTAAATGATGACAGGTGTGTACTGACTCCTATCTAACATGATTTTGAATGTGATTGTTTAATTCTGAACACAGCTACATCCCCAGTTATAAGAGGGTGTGCACATTTATGCAACGGCAATATTTTATTTTTTTATGTTTACTCCCCCCCCCTAAAATATTTCAGTTTGTTTTTCAAGTGAGTTGTACAGTTTATAGGTCACACTAAAGGCGGAAAAAGTTCCGAAATTATTTATCTTGGTCTCATTCTTTTACATCACAGAAACCTGACATTTTATCAGGGGTGTGTAGACTTTTTTATATCCACTGTACACTTCAATTCCGAACTCCAGGCAGACAACTAGATAAACCACTAAAATATGCATTTTTTTCAAAAGATTAGTAATTCTGTTCAGCCAGTTTGATAAGCCAGCACCCCTGCCAAACAGGGTGCTAAAAGAGAATGTAATCATGAACCATTGCTTTTTTTTTTTTCCTCCTTTTTTTTTTTTCATAATTTACTGAATTTGTTGATCATCTTCAGCCATTTCCAAACAATTCCTGTCTACATGTGCTCTTTAGATCAATGGCTGCACATCATTGCTCTGGACCGTCTACTAGATAATGTGCGTTGGCAGGTCCACGCGTAGTCGCCACTAGGGGAATATGGGACAATGGTGACAATGCAGGAGCACAATTGGAAGACAGTTGTCACCTCACAACATAAGGTGCCTGAACAAGGATTTTCATGGCAGGATCGCCAGGAATTTTTAATGAATGGCACGCTTTCTGAATTTTTAGTTTTGGATAGACTGGTGAGAGTTATGAACCCCTGTTGGAGTCTTAGTGCAGTCTGTGTCCAGGCAGGAAATTAAATTGTCAAAAATGGTTAGCAAAGATACACTCAGGGGTGGACTGACAACTCATGGGGCCCCTGGGCAATAGGGGATCATGGGGCCCCTGTGTCCTTGCCCAAACTCAAAGAAGCCTATGAAAAAGGTACCAGGGGCATCTCATGGGGCCCCCTACTGACCCCGGGCCCTCGGTCAGTGCCTGAGTTTCCAAATGGTCAGTCCACCCCTGCTGCATACCCTTTGTGAAGTCTTTTTTCTCCAGTATCTAAGCAGTATAATATACTTTTCTCATTATACGCAGCAAATGCAGGGTTGGTAATTGCACATTGGCCTCTGTTTTCATAATAGCCTTTTAAAACATTAATAAAATAATTTGAAACAGCACCCTGCTAGCTGATTGGATAATGAAGGAATAGCACATCAGTGAGGTGATCCTTCTGCTCTCTTCCCTCTTGTGCTAAATTCACAGTGTAAAGCTGCTCACACTCACAACACAAACGTTTAGATTTACCATCAACTACATTGTGCAAGAACCTGATTTATTGGATACAAATTGCACTATTACTTAAACTATTTTAATAAATCTAAAGATGATTGTGCAGAGATTGTACTTTGATTCTTGTATGTTTAGCCAGCTTTAGTTGCCTCTTGTTGGTCATAATTTCATATACGACATGTTGCCACAACGCACAGTGGCTAAGTGACCCTATTGCCACCTAGCAGCACTAGGGTCATCGGTTCAAATCCCAACCATGGCATTTCCTACACAAAGTTTGCATGTTCTCCTGTACCTGTGTGAGTTTACTCTGGTTTCCTCCCACACACCAAAAACATGTTGGTAGGTTAATTGGCTCCTGTCTAAATTGGCCCTAGTATGTGTATGTATGAATGAGAGTTAGGGACCTTCGATTGTACGCTCCTTGAGGGCAGGGACTAATGTGAATAATAAATATGTAAATTGACATCCCTATCTAAGTGCCTGTAATAAATCAACTCATTGCTGCCTGATTGTTCTGGGTTAGTGACTTTCTAATTAGCCAGGCTTAGACCAGAGAGATGCCTGTGACCCTGCACATTGAGAAAAACGAGAAAAAGCAACTTCCAGCTGCCTTTAAAATATAGACCACCCTTTTACAACCGGGGTGCCACGGCACCCCAGAGAGCCGCCATAGGCCTTCAAGGGTTCCGTGGAGAGAATGGCTGTCACTTGAGCCCGAGCTCCTGATCCCCAGCCGCACTGTACATCGGCACTGGGGGATGTCACACCGCTCAGCAAAGGGAACGGGAGTGTCTTCTGTGCTCTCTGCTTCCCCCTAGAGTGCAGTACCCAGATGGGTGATGGAAGCCAAGGGACTGGAACTTTTCATAATGCTGTATACGTGTGTGTGTATGTATATGTGTACATGTGTGTGTATATGTGTACGTGTGTGCAGGGGCGGACTGACCATTTGGAAACTTGGGCAGTGCTCGAGGGCCCGGGGTCAGTAGGGGGCCCCATGAGATGCCCCTGGTACCTTTTTCATAGGCTTTTTTGAGTTTGGGCAAGGACATAGGGGCCCCATGATCCCCTATTGCCCGGGGGCCCCATGAGTTGTCAGTCCGCCCCTGCGTGTGTGTGTGTACGTGTGTATGTATATGTGTGTGTGTATATGTGTACGTGTGTGTGTACGTGTGTATGTGTGTGTATATATGTGTACGTGTGTGTGTACGTGTGTATGTATATGTGTGTGTGTGTGTGTGTACGTGTGTATGTATATGTGTACGTGTGTGTGTGTGTGCATATGTGTACGTGTGTGTATATGTGTACATGTGTGTACGTCTGTGTGTATATATATGTGTATATGTGTGTGTGTGTACGTCTCTCTTGCCAATGTATGGGGTACCTCTAAAGAGCAGAGCATTTGTCTGTGTGTCAGGAATGAGCGCGATTTCGCATGCATTCCGTGACACACAGTAACGTCAAGCAAGCCTTGGACAGGGGTGCCTCGTGACTGAAAATACTTTTCTAGGGCGCCCCGACTGGAAAAAGGTTGAGAAACACTGATCTAGACTTCATTATTTTGACTCCTTCCTCTCCTCCCGACTCATATAGAAGAACGTGGTTTGAAATCCTAACACAACAAAAGAGGAAATACAGTACATTTGGACAGGAACAATTACTGTTGACATTTATTGACATAACAAATTGTTATCTGCTTTCTGGAGAACCAAAGAGCCCTGTGACGTGTTTAAAGGAGATGTGAGGATTAACATTTCCTGCCAATGTTGGAGTTTGTCTTTGAGAGTCAATTAAGAACTGGGAATTCTGGGAAAATGAGTATAGGCGGATAAGAAGGTAACGGATACTTGTGAACTAAAGTTGGATGTATAACTAACCGTCTGAGTGCAGACCTGAAGAAGTGATAGGTGTTTAAGGTATGGTGGCCTAGATCTACAGTACAATGGAGGATACTGAAAGTATTCATCAAGCAATATTGGAAGGAAACTTCGATCGCATTCCCAGCAGACAGCAGAGATTGTCCGTGAAGGTTTTTCTGTGTGCTGACCCTCTTGGTAAGTGTCTATTTAATCCATTGCACTAACATAGTCTGCAGTCTGTAAGACAGTACATGAAGCCAGAGGTTACTAGAAATAGAGGTTCACTGGTATCTCCAAGTACATGTAGAGGGTCAAAACAAGGCAAATCAAAATTAGAGCGGTGCAGTGGAAGCAAGGTTCTCCCAATACATTGAGTCAGAGAATCCCAGAATTATAAGGGTGCAGGGGAGCAGGCTTTCCCCAATAAATGGACTTGGGGTATCAAAATTAGCAGGCTGCAAGAGCAATAGGCTTCTATGGAGTCTGGGAATCATATAATTAGAGGGGTGCAGGGGAAACAGTCTTCTCCCAGTGCATGGGGCAAGGGGAAAACAAAAAAAAAATAGTGGTGCGGAGATTGCAGGCTTCTCCCAGTATGTGAAGTCAAGTTTAGAGGGGTGCAAGGGGAGCAGGATTCTCCCAGTACATGGAATCAGAAGGAATCTAAGGATCTCAGAATTATAGGGGTACACACAGGGAATGAGCCTAATACATGGAGTCAGGAGATCCAAGAATTACAGCGGTATAAGAGGAACAGTCTTCTCCTAGTACATGGAGTCTCCTAATTAAAGAGAGCAGGCTTCTCTCAGTGCATGGAATCAGAGGATCCCAGAGTTATAGGGGAGCAGCGGGATCAAGCTTGTCCTAATACATGGGGTCAGGAGTTACAAAAATTAGAGCGGTACAAGGGGAGCAGTCTTCTAGTAAATGGTGTCAGGGATCCCATAATTAGAGGGGTGCAGGGAGAGCAAGCTTATCCCAGTATAAGGAGTCAGGGAAACCCAGAAAAGAAGGGGCACAGAGGTTTCAGGCTTTTCCCAGTGTGTGGAGTCAAGTGATCCAAGAATTAGAGTGGTATAAGGGAAGCAGGCTTCTCCCAGTACATGGGGTCAGAGGATCCAAGCGTTATAGGGGTACAGGGGGAACGGTCGTCTTCCAGTATGTGAAGCCAGGAGATCCCACAAAAAGAGGAGGGAACAGGCTTTTCACATGGAGTCAGGAGGTCCAAGAATTAGAGAGGTATGTGGGGGGGCAGGCTTCTTCCAGTACATGCAGACAGGGGATCCCACAAAAAGAGGGGTGCATGTGGAACAGGCTGTTCACAGTACATGGAGTCAGGGGAACCTGTCATAATGGGAAGACTTACTGTTGAAATGTCCTGCTAGATGCCAATTTGAAAACTAGATTTTTTTATGTACTCAAGGTTTTTAAAGCAGTATGGCAAAATGTGGAAATGCCTTTTAAGTTATTTTCCACAAGTTGGCTAAAGATACCCAGTAAGATATATCTTTAAAATACAAACCAGACATTTTCACTCAGATGTGCTTGTATTTTGATGTTACAGTTGGTGCAAGCAACAGAAGACAGGAAAAACAAAGCCCAATATATCTTTCTAAAAAAAAAAGCACACACACAAAATAAAAATGTAAGGGTAACATTACAGTAGTAGGATAAAAATAAAATAGTCACATGGACATTTCCTCTGGATAAAATTAGAGAGGTAGATTATTCCTTACAGATACTTCTGTTCCTGGAAAAGATACACAAACTCTTGGTATCATATTTAGCTAGAAATTACATACCACTCCACACAAAACCTCAAATCCCAGGTTTTTCTCTGTACTAAGAAAAGTTCCTCCCTTCCGCTGGGTGCAAAACTTCCTCATGGAACCTGCTAGCTCAGTCATTGCTTCCCTCCATGCAGGAGACATTCTGGCCTCTGTGGACATCAAGAATGCCCATTTTACAAGTTCCCATCTTTTCAGCCCATCGATGTTATCTGAGTTCTGTTATGGGCATGGAACATTACCAGTTTGTTGCCCATCCCTTTGGACTGTCCATTGTACTTTGGGTCTTCACCAAGATGCTAGCTCCTGTTCTTTGTTTTGTACTCAGGACCTTCCTCCGGGTGAACAAGTGACTCAGGTTTTGTTAGTCAATGTCTATCAGACTGTACAAACCGTACCAAAATTCAGGTGGATCCCAACTTTCCAGAAATCATAGCTGAAACAATCTCATCAATTGGAGTTTCTGGGGCTGATCTTGAATACAGCCCTGTCTGAGGTTTTCTTTCCCCTGGACAAACTGTAGGCTCTCTCTATTCCCACAAATTTGGACTCTGTGGTCCTGAGGGACAGGGGCCTTTTGGACTCAGTTATCCCTACGCTCTTAAAGCTAGGGAATTGAGTTTACGTAAAGTCTTCCATGGCACCTGGAAGGCATACATCTCTTGGTATGAGACAGAGAAATTCCATCCCAAGAAGTCCTCCATAGAACTGATTGTCTTTTTTCCAGTCTCTGGATCAATGGTTGGCCTTGAGTACCATTGAGGGCAAAAGCAGCCTTAGCAGTTCTTTTTCAGAAATTACTTGCATCTCACTTCTTAGTGAAGGCCCTCCTAAAAGTGTCACTTACAATATCCCTCTTGTTCATTCCCCAGTGTCTCCTCAGGAGCCTAACCCAATTCTGTTAGTACTTCAAAAAACAACCTTTGAACCAATTAGGATATTTTCCTGTCCACCCTTACTCGCAAGCATGCCTTTCTCATTGCAATCACTTCACAAGGTAAAGCTGGACAAAGATGGGTTGAAATTGGCATGTTCATAAGGAACTAGCCAACTTTTGAACCATCTATGGCCATTACCATTTAGGAGGAGTCAGTTATTAGAATGACTCCCAAATGTGACTGTTGGAAAATGTTTGTTCAATCAGCACATGCAGCGCTGGTCCATGTATTCTGACAATGGAGAAGTCCCACTTTCAGAATACAATAGCACAGCAGAAAGATTTCCCCATCCATTTCAAATGTGTGGATAGGGGCAATCTGGTCAGTCTTTTTCGTTCAGCCCGCTGGCTGAAAAACCTGATCAATATATACTATGTTGTCAAAAGTATTGGGCTGCCTGCCTTTACACACACATGAACTTTAATGACATCCCAGTCTTAGTCCGTAGGGTTCAATATTGAGTTGGCCCCGCCCTTTGCAGCTATAACAGCTTCAACTCTTCTGGGAAGGCCGTCCACAAGGTTTAGGAGGGTGTCTATGGGAAGGTCTGACCATTCTTCCAGAAGAGCATTTGTGAGGTCAGGCACTGATGTCGGGGGAGGAGGCCTGGCACGCAGTTTCCGCTCTTATTTATCCCAAAGGTGTTCTATAGGGTTGAGGTCAGGACTCTGTGCAGGCCAGTCAAGTTTCTCCACCCCAAACTCGCTCATCCATGTCTTTATGGACCTTGCTTTGTGCACTGGTGCACAGTCATGTTGGAACAGGAAGGAGCCATCTCCAAACTCTTCCCACAAAGTTGGGAGCATGAAATTGTCCAAAATGTCTTGGTATGCTGACGCCTTAAGAGTTCCCTTCACTGGAACTAGGAGGCCAAGCCCAACCCCTGAAAAACAACCCCACATCATAATCCCTCCTCCACCAAACTTTACACTTGGCACAGTGCAGTCAGGCAAGTACCATTCACCTGGCAACCGCCAAACCCAGACACGTCCATTAGATTGCCAGTCAGAGAAGCATGATTGGTCACTCCAGTGAACACGTCTCCACTGCTCTAGAGTCCAGTGGTGGCATGCTTTACACCACTGCATCTGCTGCTTTGCATTGCACTTGGTGATGTAAGGCTTGGATGCAGCTGCTCAGCCATGGAAACCCATTCAATGAAGCTCTCTATGCACTGTTGTTGTGCTAATCTGAAGGCCACACAAAGTTTGGAAGTCTTTAGCTATTGACTCTGCAGACAGTTGGCGACTTCTGCGCTCTAGCAAAGAACACCAAACTGAGCATGTGCAGAGTGACTCCTAAAACTCTGTACTATCAGCAGATGGACTGGGGACAGTAGAAGAAGGGGAGGATCAGAGAAGACAGGATTAAACAAATGTTTTAAACAGAGCAGGGGATTAAACCGTTAGGTTCCACAGTGAGTATAACAAGCATGCTTTACTGCATATACAGACTGATTGTACTGTTGTGGGTTTAGTAACACTTTAAACAAAGTGTCAAAATGTTTAATTGACTCCAAAGTGTCTGTGTTGCGAGATATATGCGGGAATACAGCTAGCCTGTGTTATGTGCCAGTCTCTATAGAAAAACTATAGAGCTGATCAGCTTGGTCTGCATGTACGGTAAATGTGATATACTGCATATACATTTGAAATAAAAATATATTATCAGTGCATGTAATAATACAATCAGTACAATAGTAGGTTTTTAAGTTAACAATTGAGAGTAAGTCGATATTAAAAATATATTCCAAATTTTCAAATATGTTATACTTTGGTATTAGCATTCTCTGGTCCTTCTGAGACAATCTGGTATACAATGTGCCTAGTGCTGCAAGGTTGCAATTATCATTTCAACTGTGCACAACTTCTGACATGCAAACGCCGCTTGAAGTTAAAGTGATTGTAAACTGGCACCTTCTAAAACAACCTAATCTGTTTATAATAGAAATGAAAGGCAAAACTTGTGTATAGATATAAAAAAACATTGTATACACTTTTTGCCCCCTTTTTTTATAAGTGATTACATTTCCTCTGTTCTCATCTGCATAAGAGCTGGTGAAGGAGAAACAGCAGCTCACTTATCTTCCCAGTGAATGACTGTGCAGGTTGGGGGGGGGGGGTCAGGACAAGTCTGATCATTGAAGGGGAGAGCACACTGCATTTTCAGCACAGCTAAAGAACTCGCCTCACTGTGTTCTCCTGCCTAGTGTGGTTGTAGGTTGTAGTTCTAAAACTAGGAAACTCCAGAAATGGACATTGCAGGAAAACAAGTGATTTATTAAAAACAGTGCTCATGCCTGCAAAGCTGAGTGAGTTGTATCCACTTCTTACAAGCGTATATACCAATGATTACAATGCATATTTTTCCTCTTTCACTTTCTATACTGTCAAAAGACTTTCTAAACTCTGCAGAATATAGCCTTGAATTCCAGCTACAGATAAGAGTGCTAGCTACATGATGAAACACATTACTTTACAGGAAATAAGGGAGGGGGGAAGTGAGCTGAAAACCTTGCTTTGCAAGCAGATACTGTTAGAAATGTTAACGTTTAACTAGTTGCCGACTGCAGATAGCAGATTGACGGCTGCATTTCGGCCAGCCAGTTCTGGGAGGGCGTCATATGACGCCCTCCCAGAATGCACTCAACTGCGCACCCCCCGGGGAATACATCCGGCGATCTGCGTGATTGCTGTGTCCTACAGACACAGCTGATCACATGATGTGGTAGAAGGCCAATCACAGCGGCCTTTTACCACATGATCAGCCATGTCCAATGACACGCTGATCATCAGCAAATGCAATTGTTGGTTCTCGGCTGCACTTTCTTCACGCTGTCAGAGCATGAGGAAAGTACTGCCAAGAACCAGCAGTTGTCAGAGCAGGGATCGGCACCGATCATCAGGGCACTGATGATCAGTGCCCTGATGATCGGTGCCCAGCAGTTCCACCCACAAGTTCTGCCCACAAGTGCCCAGCAGTGCCGCCCAGAAGTGCCACTCACCAGTGCCCATCAGTGCAGCCAGTTGCGCCAGTCAGTGCCGACTATCAGTGGCACCTATTAGTGCCGCCTATCCGTGCCCATCAGTGCTGCCTATCAGTGCAGCCTCATCAACGCACATCAGTGAAGGAGAAAAATTACCTGTTTGCAAAATTTTATAATAGAAACAAAGAAACTTTTTTTTTCAAAATGTTTGCTATTTTTTTTATTTATAGCGCAAAAAGTAAAACACCCAACGGTGATTAAATACCACCAAAAGAAAGCTCTATTTGTTAGAAAAAAATGATAGAAATTTAATATGGATATAATGTTGCATGACCGCACAATAGTCATTCAAAGTGCAACCGCGCTGAAAGCTGAAAATTGGCCTGGTAAGGAAGGGGGTATAAGTGCCTTGTAGGCAAGGGGTTAAAGGGGAACTCTGCAATATCTGGGTGCTGCCATATGGTCAGTTTTTAATAGGAGAGCAGAAGGACTGGCAGGATCACCAGGGATTTCACACAAAGGAAGCAATACAAAGAGAACAGGATACTTTTTCATACAAGTAAATGGTAAGGCAGGCACATATCAGGAATAGGTAATGTTTGGTGTACACATTCTTTAATAATATGGTGCACTCAATTTATCATTATAGTCGGTCTTTCAGAATAATATACAATATACAGAAACAGTATAATTTTTCTGAAAAAGTTCCACCTTTTATCATAAAGAGACCATCTTTGAACTCCAATCCAGTACATTTGCCAGTGTCATCAGTAGGCTGCAGGCAGGAAGAAGCATTTCCTCAGTCTTCTCTCCCCCAGTGATCAGACTGTACATTGTAACAAATCACAAGGGGAGAGTCTGCAGCAGGGGATGATCTGTGTCAGGCAATTTTGAACACCGCTATTAACTTCACCTGGATTTACATCATTGTGACATCTTAGACCTGGCATCTCAGTCTGGGAAGTAGATGGTGACTTTGGATGATGCCTCAATAAACATGGTTCTGTCATCCTAGGGAAACACAGCTGAAGGCATTGTCAGGGGTGATTCCTGTGAGAGGTAATAATTAAAGTGATGAACTGACACATTACTAAGCATGTTGCACTTTACATGGGAATAAAGAACTGATGCTACATCTACTTTAACCATTTGAAAACCGCACTATAGCAGTTTTTACTGCTACAGGGCATCCCTCCTGTGGAAAATCACGTATACATACGTGATTTTGCACTTCTGCCATAGGGGGCGCATACACACTGCAGGCATCTCACGTCTGCTGTGAACACTTACAGCAGAAGCTGATCTGCGAGTGCCGCTGAGCAGATGTTCGCAGGCACCTGCCAACCGTCGGGCAGGAGAAAGAATAGAGCTTTGCCTAAGTAAACAAGGCAGAGCTCTGTTCTGACAGGTGGGGAAGTGAAAGATTGTACATCCCTGCAAATCTCCAAACACGATCCTTCACTTTCTGTAGTAACAGCACCACCTAGTGTACACCAAGCACATAGCGAGGCGCACAGTTAACCCTTTGATTTCCTTAGATGTTAACCCCTTCCCAACCAGTGTCATTAGTACAGTGATCAGTGCATATTTTTAGCACTGATCTCTGTAGTAGTGTCACTGGTTTCCACAAAGTGTCAGTGTAAAAATGTCAGCCGCAATATCGCAGTCCTGCTATAAGTCTCTGATTGCCGCCATTACCGGTATAAAAATTTAAAAAAAACTCCAGAAATATGTCCCTTAATTTGTAGACGCTATAACTTTTGCTCAAACTAATTAATATACACTTATTACACAAATATGCACATTTGGCCTAAATTTATGAAGAAATTAGATTTTTTGTGTGTGTGTTTTACAGTAAAAAATAAAAAATATATATATTTTTGTTTTTCAAAATTGTCGGCCTTCTTTTGTTTATAATGTAAAAATTAAAAGCTGCAGAAGTGATCAAATTCCACCAAAAGAAAGGACTATTTGTGGGAAAAAAGGACACAAATTTTATTTATGTACAGCCAGGGGCGGATTGACCATTTGGAAACTGCCCGAGGGCCCGGGGTCAGTAGGGGGCCCCATGAGATGCCCCTGGTACCTTTTTCATAGGCTTTTTTGAGTTTGGGCAAAGACACAGGGGCCCCATGATCCCCTATTGCCCAGGGGCCCAATGAGTTGTCAGTCCGCCCCTGTATACAGCATTGCATGACCGCACAATTGTCAAAGTAACTCAGCGCCATATGGCAAAAAAAAGGCCTGGTCAGGAAGGGGGGTTAATCTCCCGGAGGGCAAGTGGTTAAAGAGGTTGAAAAACCCCTACATATACCCAGTGAAGTGACTGGATTCAGATGATACACGGAGATTAAACAAATCCTCCTACATATGTTGTACCTATTTATCTGCAGTATTCTCTTCTCTACATCCATTCAAAGTGCAGAATTTACACAGAATATCTTAGCTTTGAAAACCTGGAGGCGGGGAGCTGAAGTTACATCAGGAGAGCTCTGGGAGCTCATTGGAGGGAAGGGAAGGGACCAGCCCCCCTCCACACAGCACACAGATTAAACAAATCCTCCTACATAAGTTGTACCTATTTATCTGCAGTATTTTCTTCTCTACATCCATTCAAAGTGCAGAATTTACACAGAATATCTTAGCTTTGAAAAGCTGGAGGCGGGGAGCTGAAGTTACGTCAGTGAGGAGAGCTCTGGGAGCTCATTGGAGGGAAGGGAAGGGACCAGCCCCCCTCCACGCAGCACACAGGAACAGAGTTGCGGCTGCCAAACTGCTGTCACCATTTTTTTCTTGGTGTCAGGGAAAACTCATAAGTGACTCATACTAATAGCATAGGAACAAAGCAGCAGAAAAGAATGACACTTGGTGCTCTGGATTGAGACAAGTACACCCTATGGAGGGATATGCTTTGTTCATATTTAATGTCTGAGGTTTACAACCACTTCATGCAGGAGTCAATTGGCTCTCGCATTGAAGCCGACTCTGAACATCTGCAAATATTGTTCATTGCTCCGTTACATAAGCCATGTTTGGTTAGAGGTATTGGCTGTAAAGGAAGCCACATAAACGAAGTCCAAGCCAACTGCAAGAACAAATATTCTGCTTAGCTAGTTGGTCAGGAGCTCAGCTTGTTTTGACATTTCAGCATGGGACAGTCAGAGCTCAGGAGGCAACAGGAAAGCCGAATGTTGTCCAAAATGAGGAGTTTTGCTGAGCAAGCAGAACACAATGTTGTCGGAGAAGTATGAAGAGGAAATTCCTGGATCGCAGCTTTTGAACCGTGGGCAGCAAGTTCCAGCCTTCTTCCCCATTCTATCACTGAACACAGACAGCTGCATACATCCATTTTTTTCCTTTTATAAAAGTTTGTAAAGATTTAGCGGCTCCCCATCTTATTCCCCCGGCGGCCACAAGTCCTCCAAAGACACCCAGCTATTACATCCCTATCTTTTCCTTTGGATCTGTTTTGAAGTTACTTGCTGCACCATCTGCTGGTTTGAATAGCAAACTGCAGTGCAGGTTCACTTTAGCATGCCTGTCATATTGCTAAGAAAAAAAGGCTTCTGTTTATTTCTTGTTGTTTGGTTGTAGATTTTGATTTGGTTTTGGGCAAAGTGCTAGATCCTGCAGAAAGCTCACCTCACCTGGAAATAATCACCTTTTCCACACTCCCCCCAATGCTTCAATGCTCTGTCAAAACCCTCAGCAACACCATATGCTATTGAGTATGGGGAATCCTTCCTTTTAACAAATATGGAGCTTACTCTGGGTTTAGAACCATAGCTTTGATGGAGGTAAGGGTACCAGGGGGTATGTTTTCAAAACGGGCATTCACACAAGTTGATGTGCTTTGCATTGCAATGCATTACACAGCCCATTTAATAGGTAGGAAAGGCCCTTAAGCCTTGAATGGGCCAAGTGACAGATTCCCTATAAGCTCACCTTTTTTTTTTTCAAGGCGGCCATTAAAAATTTGTGATGTACTGTACTGTATAATGCTATGAAGAATGTCACCAGCACTCCTAGCTGAGGCAATCTTTCATTATTTAAAGCGGAGCTCCACCCAAAAAGGGAAGTTCCGCTTTAAGTCTTTGTCCCCTGCTCCCCATTAAGGATTGGCACCTTTGGGGAGCGGGTACCCGAATTTGAGAGGTACCTGCTCCCACGTCCGCTTTGATCGTCTAAGGTAATCGGTAGCGGAAGTTGTCCTCCCTTCCCAGTAGTCCTCTAGGACACGATATGTCCCAGAAGACTATGGAGCCATTCACAAATCGCAGCGCTACTCACGCATGCGCAGTGGGCACCCAGCTGTGAAGCCGCCAGCTGTCACAGCCGGGTGCCCACACTGAAGATGCCAATGCCGGGAAGAGAAGATGGCTGGGTGAAACCAGCGGTGGTGAGGACTTCGCTGGACCGAGGGACAGGTAAGTGTCTGTATTTTAAAAGTCAGCAGCTACAGTTTTTGTAGCTGCTGAGTTTCATTCATTTTTTTTAGCTGGCTGGAACTCCGCTTTAACTCTTCTCTTCTCTATTCTGCTACTGACCACCTCTTTGACAATATCGCTCCCCTTTCCTGTCCTAACCTGGCCACCTCTGTCTACAACAGTTCTCTCTCATCTGCGCTGGACGCACTTACTCCTCAAACTACATGAAGAATCAGGCCCCCGCTATTACAACCCTGGCAAACTGACAACACCAGAAATCTCAAGAGACGTGGTCGTGCTCTTGAAAGACTGAGGTGTAAAACCAAATCTGTGCAGGACTTCACCCCAGGGGCGGACTGACCATTTGGAAACTTGGGCACTGCCTGAGGGCCGGGGTCAGTAGGGGGCCCCATGAGATGCCCCTGGTATCTTTTTCATAGGCTTTTTTGAGTTTGACAAGGACACAGGGGACACAGGGGCCCCATGATCCCCTATTGCCCGGGGGCCCCATGAGTTGTCAGTCCGCCCCTGCTTCACCCTATACAAATCTGCCCTCCTAAATTACAATTCCTGCCTCCATGCTGCCAAACACACCTACTTAGGCTGGCCATACATTATACAATTATCTGGAGATTTTTGGTTTAGATTTACCAAAAACCATATAATAGGAGGGCAAACCTAAACAACACT